TTAATTGTTGAAGTATTTGAATACCATTTTGATGATTAAATGTTTGACTTAATGGTTGTAAAATTCTAATAAATTGTCCAAATGAAACAATACCAAATTGTCCAATATCTAATAAATTTAATGTTTGTCCAAGTAAAATTAATGATTCTAAAGCTAAACGTTTAACTTGTAAATTATCCATTGATTGACTATCATCAATAGCTAATATTAATTGATATTGTCTTTTTGATGGTTTTAAACGTCTTAACCAAATTCTATCTTTACGAAAATCTGATGCTATATATGATATAATACGTTTCATATTTAAACGTTTTCCTGTTCGATAATCTCCTGAATATTTTGTACGTTGTGTTGGTTCAAGTAAAAGACGAAGTTGTTCACATAATTCAAAAACATATGGTTGTGTTAAATATTCTAATTGTGTCCAAAGTTGTTCAGCATCATTTGAATTTTCATTTAAATTTTCATTTAAATTTGTATACCATTCTTCTAATTGATATTCAATTTGTTCAGTTAAATTATTTGTTAATGATTTAACATTTGCTATATAATTAAATTGATGTTCAACTGTTGTTGTTAATATATAAGGTTTATCAATTGAAATTAATTCATTATTTTCATTTATTTCTGATATTTGTTCATTATTTGTTATTCTTTTAGATTTTTCTATTGATTCTTTTTGTAATTTTGATGATGAAGATTTTGATTGTTGTTCTTGTTCTTGTTGTTGTTCTTGTTCTTCTTGTTGTTGTTGTTGATTATCAATAAGCATTGATTCATCTTGTTGATTAAGATTTTTTGTTTGTTCTTCTGTAGCTGAATCAAGAATTTGTTTTTGTTGTGAAAAATCTTGTGGAATATTTTTTGCATGTGCATAAATTTGTGTTTGTTGTTGATTAGGATTTTGTTCTAAAGTAGGTAAATCATTATCATCATGAGAATTTAAATTTTCAATATGTTCTAAATCAAATGCTGCTTTTATATTTTGATCAATAAATGATGCTATTTCACTTAATGTACGTTGTTCATTTGATTGATTTGATGATTTATTTATATTATCTGATTGAAAATTATTATTTAATTCTTCTGTTAATTGATTTTCTTGATTTGATGATGAAATTTTTTGTGTTTGAGAAGTTTGTTTTGATGATGATGATTCACCTGTATTTTGTTGTTTTTGTTGTTCTTCAAATGTTTCAGCATTAGCAAATGCTTTTTTAAGTTCATTTTGTTGATTGGTAGAATCTGTATTTGATGTTTTATCTTGTGTTAAAACTGATTCTTGTTCAGGAAGATTTTCTGGAAGATCAGATAATTGATTTTCTATTGAAGTTGAATTTTCATTATTAGTTTCTTCTTCATTTTCTTTGGATTGTTCATTATTATCATCAGGATTTTCTTCATTTGATTGTTCATTATTATCATCAGGATTATCTTCAATTGATTGTTCATTATTATCATCAGGATTTTCTTCATTTGATAAATCAATATTTTCATCTTCTGGACGATTTAAATCATTTTCTTCATCATTTCCACCATCTAAATCCATATTTTCTGGAAGTTCTAATGGTTCTTCAGAATTAAAATCATTTTGTGTTGTTTCAGGTTGTTGATCTTCATTATTATTATTATTATTATTATCATTTGTTTCAAGATCTTCATCAATAGATTCTAATTGATCATCTTTAGCTAATAGACCATCATCTTCTCGTTTATCTTTACCAGTTGATTTATCAGTTTCATTGGGTTTCTAGTAAAAAGAAAAAATTCGATTATGTATGTAAACAGGAGTATTTCTCTCAACCTTGAAAAAATTTTCGCTTTTCTTCAATGTTTTATTGGTTCGTTTGCTTACCAATTCTCGAATAAATTCGGTTGACTTTAGCACGAAAAATCCTCTCATTGGCTTACTTGAAATATCAACCTCTGCATAGAGAAACAAGTATGAATCGTAAACATAGATATGAAATATTTATTATGCGGACAAATTCTTCTTCTTCTTTTTTTCTTTTTTTAATTGAATTAAATTTTTAAATTTGACATGCGTGTGACAGATTTACATGTATAGAAAAAGGAAAATGTCATTTGAGATTTAGTCATATTTAAAATTTTTCTTTAGACAAAAAGACTTATCATGTGTTTTTTAATTAGACTTTTTTTTTCCAAAGAAATGACAAAGCGGATTATAAAACTTGTTAGCGCAATTCTTGCGGGACTAACGTGTGAAATTACAAGAGATGATTAATTAATATATGTTTACATTTATGAATTCTTATCTACTATTCATACAAGGTATTAGTCACGATATGTTGTAGTGCAATTCAACCTCTGGGTTTGTTTCCCCTCGGTCACTATTTTCTAAAAAAATTTCAAATTTTCAGGGCATTTTGAATATTTCCTGAAAACATTCTAACATAGAGCTGAAAATTTCATTTGGAGCAAGATTGATTTTTGAGATGAGAGGCTTAAAAACTTACTTTTTTATCTTCTTCTTCTTCTTCTTCTTCTTCTTGTTCATCACCCCATTTTTTTTCATCGAATATTTCACCTTGATCATCTTCATTAACATCTCCCATTTCATCATCAATATTATCATCATTTGATGATTCACTTTCATTATCATTTTCTTCATTTTCTCTTTACAAAAAAAAAAAAAAAAATTAACTAAATGTTTTTTTTTCTCTATATAAATAAACTTACAGATTTTCTGGATTTTCCATTGATGCTTCAAAATCAAATGAAACTTCAATACCATTTTTATCTTCATCAATATTTTGTTGTTCATCTGTTTTTTGATCATTATCTTGTTCAGACATTTTAGTTTCATCTAATTGATCTTCTGTTTCAATTTGATCTGAAACATCTTTAGCATCATTATTTATTTGTCCTTCACCCATTCCACATGGTCCACCTTCAGTTTTTTGTTCTTGTTGATTATTTTCATCGTTTTCTTGTTCATCTTGTGGCTTTTGAAAACCATCACGTAATAATATTTGAAATGTATTACTTAATGTTAAATATATTTGTGATGTACAATGATGATAATAAATAAAACGATATAATAATTCTTCACTTAATAAATGAATATCATGATAAAATATAATTGATTTTGATGTTATTGTTTTTGATATTAAATTTGTTAAATAAGGAAGATCTAATCGATTTATATAATTATTAAAATAATTATAATAATGAACAAGCCACATTGATGATGAATCAGATCTTGTTGGAAGATTTGAATTTAAATCATTGAGAGATGTTATTAAACGTTTTCTATAACGTTTTAATGGCTTAAATGTAACTGATGGAATTGATTCTAAATGAAAATATACTTTGTTTTTTTATTTAAATAAGTTTTCTACAATCGCATGTCAATTTGTAAAATAAGAGAATAAGATTTTTAATCTTTATTATATATTAAAAAGAATATAAGGATAAGCTTAGAATCTTGATGATAGTAAACAAAACTGACATGAAAATACAATATATGATATACATTCATTCTTTAACAAAATATATTTGTTTACTAGATGATCAAAACATCACGAATTGTTTATTTAATATTGTTTTACTAATCTTGTCTAGTCTTTGGAAAAATGATGTCTATCTCTCAAAAAAACTTAAACATGTTTTTTCAAAATCAATTCTAGTAAAGTAGGTCACTGTATTTAGTTCGACCTTGATTACTTCAGTTGACGAGATGTTTTCATATATGAAAACTTTTCTCAGTAGAAGTTCGTTTACTCAAGATGAGAAAAAGCTTTTGATAAGATAATACATTTTTTCTCTACGTGACTTATCAAATCCCTAGTGAGAGAAGAACAACTATCATATATGATAACTCTTCGTCAACATAAGCAATCAGAATAAACTTAATGACATATAATACTAACCAAATATATAATAACAATATTAAGCATTTGACTCTAATCTCAATAGTGGATTGAAAAACCAATGAAGTTCTCTATCAAATACGCTCCATAGATGAACTACAAGAAGAAGATTTCTAAAGAAGACCAAACATAATAGTTTTTTGTGAAAATTAATTTTTAATAGTACTATCTTAAAGAACACAAAATAAGAGGTCACAACATTTCTTACAATCTTCCCCTTAAAAACTTATAAATGCAGTTTTTACTAATGCTATGATAAATTTCGTTCTTTTTGTGATGCTTCAAATTTTTTAAAGGAAGATCGTAACATCTCATCTTTGGCTCTTTAAGATAGTACATTAAAAACTAATTTTCACAGAATCTTCTTGGATTTAAGATGATTCCTTCCCTCAAAAATCGATCTTAGACCAAAGACATTCAAATTGCATACAACTTTGGCCGGTGTGAAGAGAGACTATAGTAAAATTTTCAGTCCTATATCATGACGTTTGATAGAGATATTCACGAAACAGGGGTCACAAAAAGAAGCACATCTGACAAACGAAATTTTTCGGTCTAGGCTCATTCGATATTCTGTTTGAGAATACAAGTCACGACAGAGTTCTTTGTTTTTTTTTTTTGAATTCTTACCTTTTCAGCAGAGATAAGGAATCACAAGTTCAATAACTTAAAAAACGACGTTCGTTCTATAGATGTATTTTCTTATATGATAATAAAAAAAAAGAACTCTGTAGTGCATTGCATCCTGACATGTTCTTTCCGGCCAAAAAGAAAAATTTAAATATATAAGATAAACCTGGATAGAGAAATTTGAGTTGCGCATTCGACAAATTGTGATGAAAAATGACTTTTTGTGTGAGGGTTAGCAACTCTTAATCAGTGTCGTATTTGGTTTTTGAGATATCTTCATCTCAATAATTCATCTATGAAACTTCGGGATGAAATACATCCGATAGAAAGCTTCATTAAGTATTCCAACTACTATTTTTCAAAGCATAAAATATTGAAAATCAGCTCTTTCCCGTTTGATACACTGGTCCGATCTGACCTGTTCAGACTGGTCTCATCCATCTCTGATTGAGATTAAAAATTAGCTCGATTGATTAAAGCAGAGGGAAGATAGTGAATTTTTATTTCTGAATGACTCTGTATTGATTGATAAAATGTTTAATGTAAAAAGTTCTAACCTTTATCGTGATTGATAAGATCAATTTGAGAAAATAATTGATAAATTTCAATAAAATTCTTGGCTAATTGTCCAATAAATTGATCATTAGGAAAATTATTTTCATCAATAAATAATTTTTCAATAACATTAATAATTTGTTGTTTAGTTGAAGAAATTTCTGAATGTAATGAATAAATATGATTTAATAAAGGATGATAATCAATAATATAATCATAAAATTGATTAATTTTTTCAATTAATAAATTTAAACGTTCTAAAAAATTTTCTAATAAATTAATAAAATCATTTCTATTTAATAAATGAATATAATTTGGTAATTGATCAATAATTGGAATATGTTCAAAAGAATTTTCAGGTATTGATCGAATAATTAATAAAAATGAATAAATTCTTTCAATAAAACAAATTGTTAAATTATATAATTGATCAATATTTTTTGAAGAATATTGAAAATTTTGTTTTGAATAAATTGAAAATATTTTTGAAAAATCTTGATATTGTTGAATAAATTGATGTAAAAGAATTTTTTGTTGAAATATTATTTTAATTAAATGTTCCATAAAACCTTGTATACGTTGATAAATAATTGAATCAATTTTATTTGTTTTTAATAATAAATTTAATTGATTATATTGATAAATAATTGAATAATAATTTAAATCAGTTTGTTTATAAAATAAAGAAAATTTTTCTAATATATTTAAACGATTATTAATAAGATATTTTTTATTTTTTTTTGTTTCAATAAAAGCATAAATATTTTTTGTTAAATCGATATTATAAAATTTAAAATCAATATTTAATAATGAAAATGATGTTTGTGAATTAATATATAATAAACCTTTTTTAAATGATAAACCAATTGATGTTAATTTTTTAAATAATTGTGTTAATAATTGACGTTTTTCATTATATAATTGTTTATAATCATTTTGATGAATTTTCATTGATGATATTGTTAATGAATATTCATTTATAAAATTTGTATCAAATTTAATTTTTTTAATTAATAAAAAATTAAAAAAATTTTTATAATAAAATTTTAAATTAATTAAACGAAAAAAATCTTGATTTTTAGTTAATAAATAATTAAATTTATATTTATATAATAAAAAAAATTTTTCTATTGATTGTAATAATGATAATTTATATTTTTTAATTGATTTAAATAAATATTTATGTGATTTATCAATTGATTGTTTTAATGAATAATAATTTGTATCTTTCCATTGTTGAATTTTAAAAAAATTTTTTATATCATTTTCAATTTGATTTTTTATTGAATTTTTTTCAAATTCAATATATTCTGCAAATTGTTTATAATAATTTATTATAAAATTTAATATTAAATTATTATTATTATTATTAGTAGTAAAATATATTGAAAATGTTTGACATAATTCTAAACGTATATGAAAATCACCTAATGTTGATTTATGAAAAAATTCATGAAGATTTTTTTCTAATAAAATAAAATCATTTTCAGAATTTAATAATGAAAATAAATATAACCACCAATATTCAATTGTTTGTTGTCGTTGTTTATAATCAATCATTGATAATGTTTGTTGATAACAATTAAATTCATATTTACGATATTTTATTATATATGATGTTAAAATTTCTAATTCTTTATTAAATGTTGTTTGAAGTGTTTTTGATGAATATGTTTCTTGCCAATATATTAATTTTGTAAATAATATATCAAAACCATAAAGAAATTTTATTAATGAATTTTCTATTGAAAATGATTTAATACGTTTTATAATAAGAAGAATTTCAACAAGTGTTGGATGATTTTCATGTGTTTCTAATAGATAATTTGTACGTTGTTCAATTGATAAAATAATTGAATTTGATTCAACTATCATTGAAGAATTTGAATCTTGATATATATCAAATGGTTTTATTTTATTTAATAAATGTTTTGATAATGGTTCTTTTGATTTTATTGATAAACGTATCATATGTGCTATTAAACGATTATCTTCACCAAATTCATATAAACTATTAAAAAATGATTGAATTAATTCATTTAATGAATATTTTTTATTATTTATTATTGATGAAAAATATTCATATAGAAGATAATATGGAAGTATTGAACATTTTGATGGTTTTATTTCTTCTTTTTCATTATTATCATTATTATTATTATTATTTTCATTTTTTGGTAAAAAATCAATAAAATCAGAATCAAATGATGGAAATAATCGTTGATATTCCGAATCATCTTGTTCACTTTCAAGTTCACTTGTTTCATGACGATAAATACTTGATGATAAACGTTTTTCTTCATCTAATTGACGTTGTTCATCAGACCAAAGATAATGAATTGTTTCAAGATATGAATGTAACAAATTATTAAATTCTTTTGAACGATTAGAATTTATATGAATATATACAACCAGATATTCAATTATTAATACAAAATACCTATAGAAAAATATACATTTTTCAATTAGAGAATTGATTGATGAAGGAATTTTCATAAGTTTAAAATCGCTTTGAAGTTCGAACTTTGTGCATAAGGCGGAATTCATTGAAGTATTAGAAAGCTCAAAAGAATAAGATTTTCTATGCTTTCGCTTCAAAGCTTTACTGAAATTTAATCTATAAATAGATTTAATTGTAATTAGAAGTTTTTTCCATACGATATTAAATTTTGAAAAAGAACCTGATATTCTAGAAGACATTTGAGAATGTCATGTTTCTTGGGAATTGAATATCTCGTAAAGAACATATTCTAATTATAAGTAGATCTACCTACGGGTAAAATATCGTCATTCAATTCTTTTCTATATATCGTGCTACAGACTAAAATTTCATTTAAACAGCTTTAAAGTTATAGGGAAGATCTAGGGATCATTTTTAATATCTCATTTGACTCTAGTTTATGCATAATGGCTAAATTCCAAAGTGAGATTTTCTCGTTAGATAATGGTATTCTTTTTATATCATCATAAACATAATAATAATGAAAGTTTTTTTTGACGAAAATATTGAATCTTTATTCAGGAAAAAAAAAGTTAAGACTCGAAATCGATTTGCATGTTTAACATAGGAAAAAGGTTCTAATATCTATGAAATCAAAGAATATGATAAGAAATTTCTTTCATCTTTAGTTGCCTATACGATCTAATAATATATCCCAAGACATCGTCTCGGATACAAAGATAACAGGAATGTCCATAGTACGACATTAGCGATGCGTATATGGCCACGACACATTAAGGTTGACTTTATTTTTTTGTAGTGTAGAGACGTATAGGCTAAGTTCTATGCTATCCTGTCGAACATCTACCCAATGTTTTTGTCCAGAATGTTGACTGAATGTGTTCTCCCTACCAGAGTTTGAAGTCGTCTTTCCAAAAGAGAAAATCTACATAAACACACTGCCTCTACCCTACGAAGTTTTTATCTCACTCTCTCTTAATTCTATCCTATTTGAAGTGTTATAAAAGTGAAAAATATTATCACCATAGAGATGTACAGGATACGCTTTTATCGTACCTTTTACTAGATAATCTGTCGAGTCCAAAATTTTCTGATCCGGCGGACTCTATCGTGTATCCTAGTTGAGAAAAATCTCCTTATTCTACCCTACGCATCTCTATATCACGGTTGCAGAAGTTTTTTCTATCTATGATTACAGCGCGACATGAACAAATTTATATTTTCGATAGATAAAAAATCATTCTTACTGTCTAAAACGCTCGATTGGCATATTTTGTTGAACAAATGTTCGTTTTTGAAATAGATCTTGTGCAATATAAAATAAATTATAATGATTTAATCCATATGGAAAAAGACAATAATTAAAAATAGTTTTGTTAGAATGAATATTTGTTTGAAAATAATAATCAAAAGCAAGAACAATTTGAAAAACTTGTTTCATTAAAGGCATTGTTATATCTCTATAAATATAAAATTTATCTGATAAAATAAAATTTCTATAAAATTCAACAATATTTTTTCTCCATTGTTGATAAATTTTTTTATCATTTTTTTTATAAATTTGTTCAATTAAAAACTGATGATTTATTAAATTATTAATTAATTGTCGATTTAAATAATTAATTAATAATTGATATTGTTCATTATTAAAACGATAATAATTATATTTTTCTATTTGAAATTGATTTAAAATAATTTTCATTTGTTTTTCCCATTGATGAATTTTTTTATTAAATGAATATTCATATTGTTGTTGACATTCAATTCTTAAATTATATTCATAATTTATTTCATTTTGAAATTTTAATTTATAATCATTTATTATTTGTTCATAAATAATTGGATCAATATCACCACGTGGATAAATTAATTCAATTTTATTTAAACTTTGTTCAATTAATTCTAATGAAAGATTTTTTTCAAAATTATTTTTTGAATTTTCTAAACAATTTTTTAGAAAATTTTCAAATTTTGATCGATTACATTCAAGAAATGAACCATTTAACCATAAAAATTTTGACCAATAATTAATTTGTTGAGATACTTTATCATATAAACCAAATGGAACATTTAATGAATGAATATTAAAATAATATAATAATGATATAGAATTTGTTTGTTCAAGCCATTTTTCAATATATATTTCATTTATTGATGGATTTATTGAATATGATATTAATTTACAAAAATATTCATCCCAATCTTCTTCATTATTAAATGGTATTGATAATGAAACAAATGGAAATAATAAAGAATTTTTATGATAATAGGAATTTATCCATTGATATTGATAACTAAGAATTGATTCAAATGTATTATAAAATAATATATCACGATCATTTGTTATTGAAGAATATTTTAATTCATTCCAACTTGTTTCAATTTCTTTTAAAATATTTATATTATTATCCTAAATAATTGAAAATTTTCTTTTTTAACAAATATTTTTCATATAAAATATTCAAAGATTTTTTTTATGCCAAATTTGATTAACAAATACAGAATTATTTTACTGAAAACCCTAGTTTGGACATTCAATATCGCAAACACTTTCTAGATATTCCCAGACTTATCTATGGACGGAATTTCGTTATTCAATTTTTGGTAAATATCTAAAGCAGGACTGAAAATTCAGTAAAACGATTCAAACTCAGCTTCAAAACTACATGGAAACGAAGTATGCTAGATCTATATTAGTTTTATTAAGACGTTCTTGCGGATCGGCAAGTATTAGTTCGGGTAGTTCCTTCGTAAAAAAAACTTTAACTAAGATTTCTGATATTTTTCTATGGTAAGAAACAGTTGTTTTTTTTGGCCTACAGTTAGAAAGTTTCTATGTCATCTTTTGAATGACGACGAGTTTACTTTATGTTTATTTGTGTGACATGGAGCAAAGAACGTTACTTTTTTCAAAAAGGATTAGATGAATTGAATTGTAAAATAATTCTTTTCTATACTTTCTAATCGACACATACGATCAAAATCGAACTTTTAATTGCTAACTGAAACAAAATGTTAAAATTAGAAGTATGTTACTAAATAATTCGATACGAATATTTTAAAATGAATTCACAATTGATGGTCCGGTGATAGTTACCCTTCAATAATACTAGCTTCCGCAATATTTTCTTTCTTCTGATATTTAGTTAAAATTATAATAAAAAATTCGAAATAAATCCCGTTCGTTCTTTTACTCTTCGTACTCGCTCCCAAGGCCTTGAATGTAAGGATAGGATATGTCTAGTGTGCAACAGCCGTATTACCTTTGAAAATGGAGAGTACCAATCACAATCATTGCTTATAATAATAGTGGCCTCTGTCAATATTCTCTCTGTTTTTGATTTGTGTTTTTCTTTATCGAGTTTTATTTTCTTATCATACAATGCAAAATAAAATGGCAAATAATGTCGACACCTATATTTGTTTTATTTTTCTCGTTCTAATAGAAGCACTCTCTGCAAAGAAAAATTTTTTATCTATTGAAAAGAATGATTCTTCTCGTTTAAATAATGTCGCACTCATTTTTTTCATTTCACATGCGTGAAGAATATATTTTCTAACTAATTTTTTTTTTGTATTTCTTTGAACAAACCGAAAGAAAAGAATAATTTTTCTAACGACCATGAAAACAGTTACTATTTTAAGAACGTGTTTATCAATGATATGGAATTATTTGTCTTTTCTATAAAAAGATTTTAAATGAGAATAAAATTTCTTTTTTTTTTTTGTTTTTTATTAATTAGAAAAAAGAATTATGTAAATTACCTGTGATTGTTTTAATTGTTGAAAATAATTAATTAATTGTTTATCATAATGAAACCAATATTGTAAATATTTTTCTAAATTTTTTTCTGTTTTATTATCATTAAATAAATCAATTTGATAAAATATTTTATAACGTTGACATAAATATTCATATTCAGATTTTGTTTTTATTAAATAATGTATTTGATTTTGATAATAATTATAAAATTGAAAAAATTCATTTTGTATTATCATATATTGTTCATCAATTTGTTTTATTTGTTGAATAAATAATGAATTTTCTATAGAATTTATAAATATTATACGAATATATGGCCATGCTATTATTAAATGAAGACGACGATTTATTAAATTTGATGGTGATTCAATTATAGATATAAACCAACGCCATGAACGATAATATGAAAATGATAATTCATCATTATTAATCAAATCAGATCTAATTAAATAAAAATATTTCTTTACAAATTCTCAAAACAATAATTTGCGACTATTCGTATTGTTTTTCATATAGATACGTAAACGATCATAGATGATTCGTTCACGTACTATAGTTTAACCGTAACTTTAGGCTCAGTATTACGACTGTATACACAGTTGGTGACCAGCTGAAACTCGAGAATCCGAGTGTTTAGAATACAGTGAAATATGATCGTAATAAACCGTGGAAAAAACATCTGGAATAAACTGCACTTATTTGACCTCACAAATTCAAGCAAACAGCGTAAAAAATATATAAACTGGCATCTTTACATCATCGTTTTTCGTAAATAGGACAAATAATGACTGTTTGCTAGAGAAAAATGGCTCGTAAAACGAGCTGATGAATATTAATGCGGTAATACGTCATCTTCAATGGGCGGAATGCTCGTTCTGGGGCGTTATGTACGGTACTATATTACAATGACCAGAATCAGGACTCTCAATAGTTCTTTGAAGTGGAAGGAGCTAAAAATTTAGCAAACAGGGACTGATGAAGGAACGTTTTTAACTGATCAATCGATTTTGAATTCGGACCAGGTGCAAAAGTGAGATACTGGTAACACATGAAAAATCTCAAAAGCAAGAGTCTCTTTAGATCTTCTGCCCAGATTTATAGGCATTTTGCTAGAATTTTAGCCTATGCGCTAGTATATACCAACAAATCGAAGGAGGGTATGTCGACCTGAGATTTTGTCCACATATATATCTATTTGTCAGTAGAATGCTCTGAAAATTTCGGCTCTAAAAAATGTTTCTTCTCCGAGATATTAAAGTTCCTAATATTCCACAAAATTTTGCAAAAATTTAGGGACTTTATGATCTCGGAAAGGAAATATTCTTCTGAGCTGAAATTTTCAGGACATTCTACTGACAAATAGGTCTGTCTGTAGGCAAAATCTCAGATCAAATTACAATAATTTGATTTGTTGGTATATACTAAATCAGCAACCAACATTTCAATAAAATGCCTATATAACTCTGGAAAGAACATTTAAAAGGACATTCTTTTGAGATTCTCGACTTCACAAGCGATTGATCAGTTAAAAACGTTTCCTCGTGAGAAAAATTGCCTATTTAAACTTGGCTAATAGTTATTCGATAACAGCTGGAAATTTTCACAGATGTAAAAAACGGGCGGGACTAGCTCACTGCCGCCCCTCTCACATAAAGACCCTATGATCATGATGATGGCAAAATACATTCCGTTTTCGTACTGTATACGATGTGTCCGTATATGATCGTTGACGTTCTTTATTGTGTTTTATTTAATAAAGAAAAAAGAAAAAAAACTTACGAAGATAATGTTTGAATAAAATATTGTTTAATTAATAACCAAAATTGTCCATCACTATTTTCAAAAAATAAATTTTCATCAATATATTTTGTTTTAATAGTTTTTTTTAATTGTTTATAAATAAAATCATGTTCAATTAATATTCTTAATAATAAATTATTTTTATTATTATTTATTTCTTTAACAATATTAATTAAATTTATTTGTTGAGGATGTTTATATGAAAATAAATCATATTCAATTAATATTGATGATAAATTTTCAATAAAACGATAAAATAATAAATGAAATTTTCTTTGTTCAATATTTAATGAACAATACCATAATGGAATATTTTGTTTATTTGAAAGAATTAATTCAGGTTGTAAACATAAATCATTTATTCGTATTGGTGATATTATAAAATTTATTTCAATAGAATTTGATATAAATTCATCAATTAATAAATTAATTTCTGTATTTAAACGACTATTTAATGTACAATAAGCTGTTTTTATTGCTAAACGAAATGATTCATTTGATGAACGTGATAATTCATTGAATAATAAACATGATCGAATTAAATTATGAAAACCAAATGTTGATACTAAAATAAATTATTCAATTTATAATGTAATTTATGTCAACTATCGCTTATCGAATGCTAATTCACTTCATCCTACACTGATGAAATAGATCTATGAATGTAATTATTACATTAATATATCATTTTTTTTTTCACTACAATTAGCTCTAATCCATTTAGATACGAATAATTATATTAGTATTATTTCTACATAAAAACTACATCCCATTATTCATTAATTGTAACTTATATGTTCAAACTAGAGTCCGTTGGGTTCGGATCCAAAAATTTTGAACTCAACGGACTATAGTCATCCGAGAAATGTGTATGGTGTGCTCATCACCAAATACAAAAAAATCGAAAAAAAAGTATCTTGTATCTTCGAAGCGATTATTTTGATTAGAAAATTGCATTGAGAGTATCAAAGTGTGATTCGACTGAGTCTGAAAATTTTACATCCAATGGACTCTAGTTCAAGTCAGAGTTGGTACCGGTTCGATTCAAAACACCAGTGCAAAAACAGCGCCGTGGACAGTTTTTTTTTTTTGAAGAGTACGTCAACTGATTAACGAGTGTCTGCTCTTTCTTAACGCATAATATAATCAGGAAACGACAGAAAAATAATGTCTGACAGCCGAAACAGTATTTGAATGAGAGAAAAAATTTTCCAACTCTAATTCAAGCTCGTATATTTTATTGATAAATCATATGTTTAATTATACAAACAATAACACAATCAAACTAAATAATTTAACAATACTCGAACATTTTAAAGTCTCATCGATCGGTTAATTTAACATGTAGTGACTAGATGAACTTTAGAATCCGCTAACAGGTGATTTCAGTCAAGGTCATTTGATATTTATTTAGACTATAAGTCACCACATGGTCATTATAACTACAGTAAGCCAATAGAAAAGGATCTTATGGTTAGCTATGATAGATTTACATACAATAAAAAACTGACAGTCAACGGTCTACAGAAATACCACAAGCCAAACTTTGTAGCGCTTTCGTGATTACTCATATAGCCCAATAAAAGCTTGGGCAATCATCTAAATACTCGACACTGTCAGAACTGATTAGGTAATTCTCGAATCAGAATTATAGTTCGAGCTGAGTGCATGCCTATTACAGTCACACACAAGTAAATTCTCATTTTTAAATTCTATCCTTTAAGTTTACGAAATTCATGAAATAAATAAATAAATAAATAATTAAACCTTTTTGACAAAGTATTTGATGAATTTGAATAAAATGTTGTTGTTGTTGTTGTTGATAAATTTGACAAGATTGTATTAATTCTTTTAAATCATAATAATTATATTCTTGTTGATCATCAATATAAATTTCACAACAACGATTTCTCATAGCTCTTGAAATTTCTCCATTACCTTGTTTAGGATCCATTGTTAAAATAAGTCGAAAATTTTCATGTGGTTTTATAAGTGAACCTTGTCCACCACCTTCATTTAATATTAATTGTCCATTTGGTTCTAATAAAGAATTTAAACGATCTAAAACACTTAATGAACATGTATTAACATTTTCAAGTATTAACCAATCTCCTTGACGCATTGAACGTATTAATATTGATTCAATCCAAACAAAATGTTGTTCTTGACAATATTTTGATATTAATTTATCAATTTCATTTGATGGTAAATATTCTTTTAATTCATTTAAATAATCAATTGTTATTAATTTATTTTCATTATTTAAATCATTTAATAAATTTATTTCATTATTTTTAATATATTCTTGTTTTAATATATTTAAATGATATTTAGAATATTGTTGAAAATTAAATTGTTCATAATTTCCTAATAATTCATTTGTATCAATTGAAGAATTTAATTCAAATATTTGACATTGATGTCCACATAAACATGATAATATATGTATTAATGTTGATTTTGATGAACGTGATGATGGACCAACAAGAAGTATTGGCCATGATGATGATAAACATTCAAATATTGATGATAGACTTTCTAATTGATGACGCATTAATAAAATTGGATGAGTTAATGATAATGTTGGAAGACGAATAGATTCACGAGACCATTTTCTTGAACCAATCTAAATATTTTCAAAAATTCTCATTCACAATGTCTATGACATTAAAGTTGTTAGTGTAATCTCTGTGGAATTCAAATGTGCATTCTATAGTAAAGTTTATAAAAGAAAAAAAGAGAACTGAACACGGTAGTTTTCAGCAGAGATATTCATGACGACGCTACCGTCGTGGTTGACATCTCTGATTTTTCAGTCTCAGAAGTCTATTATTTAACAATGCTATTTTAAAGAGAACAAAATAAGGCGTCACTGCATTTTCTATGGCCTTCCAGAGAAGAAGTTAAAAGTATTACAAAAACCAGAAAAAGGTGACTTTTAGTCGAATTTTCATTTTTTGCGGTATTTTTAACTTTTTAAGGGAAAGTCATAGAAAATGTGGTGATCATTCATTTTGTTCTCTTTGAAAAGGTATCGTTAGGACCTAGTTTTCTGGAACCTAATAACTATCGTGTAATCTTGTCATCATTGTTCATCTATGAAATTTTGCTATAGAATGCATTAGATAGAAAACTCTATTGAAGATTATTTTATTCTATCTATTTTAGGATGCATTTCTTCACTATGCTATTATATAATCCTCCAAAAATGTAATAAGTAGTTCATATATTTGAACGAGACGTTATTGATTCCCACTCTGTGATGATGGGAGGAGAGGGTTACTGAAGTGTCTGTCACAGAGGTCTCAATGGGTCGGATCGATTCCGGTCGAACCTTGAATACAATATAAAATTTTCAAAAGATGTTGCATATTTCCACTAAACTTTTTTTTTCGAAAATCTCATAGAATTGTTTCATTGGCTAAGAGATTTCTGCAATGAACAGTAAATATATAAAGCAAAACAACGAAAAAGATAAAATTGTTGTCACCTTAAAAAAACTTTCTAAATATCTTTGTCTAGCTCTTCTCATTCATCAACAATTACTTTTTCTAATTTTATTTCTATTGAAACTCTTCAATCATCAATTCTTTGACTACCGGTACTGATCTATCATCACATAGAAAACAGTATACATCCAAATGGATTAAATTTCTTTTGAAATAACAACTATCGACATATGTTGTTATTAAAAATGAAAAAGAAAACTTTTGGTTTTCCAACTAGAAAATCATGATAAATTCGAGAAAATTGAAGATTTTGTAAGTTGTCAATTATGTTATCGAACATCTATTTATACAGTACTCAAACTATGCTATTCTCATTCATGTGTTTAATATTTATCCAATAGAACTGGATAGGTGACGCATAGACTAAGCCGTAGAACCTATCGGATCCGACCAAGTCCGGTTTCGAATTCAGAAAGTTTTGGATCCAATGGACTCTTCCCACAAAAGATTAATCAATCAGGTTCAAATCCAAAATTTTGATCGACCGGGTCCGGATTCGATGGACCGACTTTCTTCTCCACTCCTTTTAGATCATGTCTCACAAACAAAAAAAAAAGCTGCTGAGTCTATTTGATAGAGCAAAATGTAATCTGAAGAATAAAAAATCCTAAATTGAAAAATTACTTGTAAAACTTTTGAATTAATTTGAAAATCAATTTCAATTGATTCAATGTTCCATCCAGTTGTTTGTTGATAAATTTGTCTAATATGATCTTGATCTTTTTTTGTTCTCATACGTTTAATATAAATTAAATCAAAAGCTTTATATTGATTTTGATTATTTTGATTAAACATTTGACACCATTTTAATAAATCACGTAAATTAAAATCCCATTGATTATTATTAAATGCTTGTTGAATGTTTTCATTAAAATTTAACATTTTATCAATAATATCTTCAGATATTTGATCATATAATTGTTGACATATTATTTTTAAATCAATTCTTTCAAGTAAAGAAAAATAAATTGTTGTAAAACGATTTAAAAATGATTTTGGTAAACCTTTTCGTCCACTAACTTGTCCATATGGATTTTGACAAGCAAATATACGTAATGGTATATGTCTTTCTTTATCATGAATATAAAATGTTCGATTTAATTCTGGAATATAAATTTCACCTCGATGATCTAAACATGCATTTAATCCTTCTAAAACTGATTGATTAGCTAAATTAAGCTAAAAAATAAAAATAAAAAGACAAATACAATACAATGAAACTATTTTTTATTGTAAACGATTTCTTAGAATATTCATATAATATGTTTGATACAAAACTGTCGAATGTATGTGTTGGTTAAAAGAATAAGAAGATTTTTCTTTTGTTCTTTCCGCTATTATATATCTTAGTTACTAAATGCCTTACTAATATGTATCAGTGATGAGTGTAGATGAAGAAAAAAAAAATCGACAAGCACGTAATTCTTATCTCTGATATTGTAAGTGTTGAAAGTAAATTAGATTGAATAATCATGATTTATTAGAATTTAATGATTTACATCAGTTTTATGGTTATGTTCTTTTTTTTTACTAATCAAAATTCATACACTTCATATCTTACGAGGAAATCGCTATATCCCTCATAGATAAGAGATCTTGACATTAGAATATTTGTTCAATAAATCGTGCACATATCGTCGTTGTAAGCAGTTTTTTTTAATTAATAGCAAAGCATTTTCAAAAAAAAAATCTAGATTAATATGTAAATGGTTTGTATGACTACATCTGTCGTCTAGAATAAATCTCAGATTAAAGTTCATTAGTTATATATATATATTTTTTTTTTTTTGAAAATACTTAAACTTGGTCGTAGAAAGATAAAATGACGGAGTACGGTGTGATGTGCTCGTCGCCAAAATTCGTTAATCTACATTTTGACGATGCTTGTTTTTAGTGATCCTCATTTTCTATTGAGTCTTTCTTCAGCACACTATTACGATGATCATAATTTTAAAATTCGAAAGAATAGGTACAAGTAATTCTAGTTTGAAGATCTCTTATCTATGATAGAAATAGATATTTCAATATGATATATTACTTCTGTTGATTTCTTTGCTAATCGGAAATTGAATTTTTTTTTTAAAGATGTTACTTAAAAAAAAAATAAAAAGAATATTTACTTCATCAAGAATAATCCATTGATTATTTTTTATTGCTGTTAATAAAGGTCCATCATGCCATTTAAATTTTCCAGCTTGTCCAGTTTCAACATCTGGTAAATCTGATCCAAATAAATCACTTATATCTGTTTGTTCTGATAGATTAATTCTAATATATGAATAACCAGCTAATTTTGCTAATGCAATAACTAAACTTGTTTTTCCAACACCAGGACTACCTTCAATTAATATTGGTTTATTTGTTAATTGCATTGCACGTAAAAGTCTTTGAACATTTAATAATGTTGTTGGTGCTTTAAAACTATATTCTTCATAATCATTATAAATAAATGAACCACGTGGAATTGAATATGAACCAAATGTTAAATAATTTGATTTAATATTTATATTTTCTGATAAAATTGATTTTTGTTTTTGTTGACTTATTAAAAAATCAATTATTATTTGTTTTAATGATAATGTAGAATCTATAGCATCAATAAAAACTAAATAAGCACCATGTTCATATGAATATTGCCAATTTTCAGGATTTAAATTAATAAATGATATCCAACTAAGAATATCTCGAACAGTTATTAAAATACTATAAAAGAAAATAAAACAAATTTATCTTATGAAGGAATATCGAATATCGCAAAAGTTTTGCATAGGAACATTTTTGTTAAAAGATATGTCATGGAATACTCTATTCAGATCATAAGATTAAATTTTTCATTTCAGAACGAAACATACAGAACAATTAACACAGATTTTGTATTCTAATAAGAATCCTTATGCTTTGAAAGTCACACTAGATCTCAGATTAGTTCAAAACATAACTGTTTCTGAACAGAGTTATATACAAAAGTTTTGCTACACTCGAATGTTTTTACCGTTTTGTTGTTGAAATTGTTTGAAAATATTGAATAAAATCACACATAATTTTTGTACATTCTTTTTGTTGATCCTCATTATTTAATTTTAAATTATGTATTATAATTAAATATAAATCATCAATAGATTCACTTGGTGTACACCAAATTTCTGTAAAACGATTACGTAATGCTGGTGAAAGCTAAACAAAAAAAAAAAAAAAATTTTTTTTTTTCTTGTAAAAATAAAATAAAAAAATCTAACTTCTTTTTTTCCAAAATCACCACCAGGATTCATTGTAGCAATTAAACGAAATTTTTCATGTGCTTTTATAATATCAATATGTTGATCATCATTATTATAACCTTTTTCAGCTAAAACTAATTCTTTTTCAGGTTCTAAAACACTATTTAATCGTTCAAGTACACTATCATCAGCTAATGATATTTCATCAATAAGAAAAAGTCCACCTTCTTTCATTGAACATACTAATACACCATCTTGCCATTCAAATAAATTTTGATTTTCATTATATTTAATATTTTTTTCCTGACGACGAACAGGACGAATACTACCAATAAAATCGGCACTTTCAGTTGTTGTATGACAATTTATTGTAAATAATTTTTGTTTATTAATTTGTGAAAGAATTTCACATACTGTCGTTTTACCACATCTAAAGAAAAATAAGGAAATATGATATTTAAAACTGATGAAAAAGAAAAAAGGAAAATTTTTTACCCAGTTTCTCCAACTAATAAAACTGGTTCATCAAATTGAATAGATAAAGCACAAAGAATAGCTAATCGTCTTAATGGTTGTGTCCAAACAATATGTTTTAATTGATTATTTTTTTTAATTTGTTGCCATATTTCACGTGTTGAATATTGACTACCTTCATCACCAAATAAAATATCTTCATTAATAAACATTTTTTTATCACAAAAATATTTTTCAATAATTTGTTTAATAAAAAATCTATCATCAAAATTTCTTGATCTACCAGCTAATAATAAATAACCATGTTCAGCTAAAAATTGTTTATAATTTTCACATGTATTTTTATATAATGTATAACGTTGTGCCCAACGAAATAAATCTCTTAATGTAATTAAACTTGTTTTACCAGAAAAAATACCTTTTTGTGAACGATATTTTTGTAAATCAATCATTGTTTGTATTAATAATTTTGAATATGTTTTAGGTAATTGACATTTTTTTTCAATAATTATTTCTAATTCATATTGTGGTAAATTATTAAAATGTAATTCAATAAAACGATTACGAAATGCACGTGATAAACGTTTACGTCCAGCATATTGTTCACCAGCTGGATTTTGTGTTGCAAATAATTGAAAACGTTCATGTGCATTTATTAATTCATTTGTTTCACTTAAATATAATTGTCTATTATCATCTAATAAACGATTTAATGCTTCTAATATATCACTTGATGCTAAATTTAATTCATCAAGTATAATCCACCAACCATAACGCATTGCTTTTATTAATGGACCATCTTGAAATATTAATTGTCCATTATTTGATGAACATGTATATGTACCAAGATATTCTGATAGATCAGTATGTTCATGATTATTTATACGTAAACATTTATTTCCTGTTAATAATGCTAACCAATTAATTAATGAAGTTTTACCAACAGATGTTTCACCTTGAAGTAAAATTGGATATGATTTAGCTGATAATATACGTATTATATTAATTAAATTTTCATTAACTGTTTCAGTAAATATATAATTTTCATTTTTATAAGATATTTCATCACCTTTTAATATTAAATAATTTTTTATTTCAATATATTTTTTAGAATATTCTTTTGAAACAATCATTTGACTGGATTTTAATAATGTTTCAATTGACGGTTTTTCTTCTAAACAAACAAAACAAAAAAAAAAGACATTTTCTCCAGCCAATAAAATTACTTTTCCAAAGAAGAAACTGCCTTTCGACTACCTTATAGTATAGTATACTGTCTAGCGGCAGATTCAGTAGCTCGATATTTTTCCTATAATTAATATCCATTATTAAAAGAAAAGAAGGGTGAATATTGTTGGAATAATTTTTGATAGGAACTAAGATAGAGACCTGCGGTTGTCACCGCTGAAAAGAGGAAATGAAACTGCATATATCAGATCTTCCTGGAAAGTTTTCTCAGGATCACTCACCAAATTTTTTTTACAAAATTTAAGGTTGTTAAATAGGTTTCGAAGGTGGATTTTCCGGGAAGAAATCAGAAAAAAAGTCAATTTTTCAGTAAAAAATCTGCTGAAAATACATAGCAAAATGTTAATAACTTGTAATTGATTAATCTTTTTAAGGCCAGACTTACATAGATTATTGAACTTTTGTTAACGATTCTGACACACTATTGAAAATTAAAATTTCAAAACTTTTACTTTACACAATGTTTTATGTTTAAGAAATTTGACGCATAGCTCTGAGAAAACTTATCAAAAAAATCTACTATTCAAGATTCGCTACAGTTTCATTTCCTCTTTTAAACAGTAAAAACTGTAGATCTCTATCTAGTTCCTATTAAAAATTATTCCAAAAACACTCACCCTTCTTTTATTTTGAAATCGATATTAATATTAGCTGTAGCTCTGGACAGAAGATCGATCTGATGCAGAGTTCTGGTGCTTCCCATACATTCTCACAAACAGGCATATATTACAACGAGGTCAGTATGCTATCGGACAAGTGATCTGAGACAAACAACCGTTAATGACTTGTCGAAGATTATTCCGTGGCTAATAGTACACAATACTTTGTGAAGATACATGTCGAATAGCGTAGTCTTATCTTAATTTAAACAAATGGATATACGGCTTATATCTGTTTAATTGAAACATGTATAATATTATCTAAAAATTCAGATTTATTTAAGAGGGTCCTCTTCTCAAAAATGAAACGTTTTTTCCGAGCATCCAATCTTGAAGAAATTTTCGGTGGAGGTAGACACCACACAGTAAAAATTTCAGCTCAATACATTGAGTCTACGAAGAGTTAGCTTAAGATTATGGATCAAAATTTAGATTTCTCCGCCATTTCAAATGCTAGAAAGGTCGAATTGGTTTTAAAGTGTAGGCAAGATGTGGCGCTACAACTTAACAAAGCCTAATTTTTCAATTTTTTCTTAGCTTGTGTTTTTCGAATAGTCCTCTGATAAAGTATGAAAAATTCAAGGGATATAGGTTCAAAACGGTTAGTTTTTTTTATAAACATTAATGGGGAAATCGAAAACTTCGGCTCTATTAAGTTGTAGAACTAGTTTTTGCCTTCATTTTGACACCAAGCCCAGCTTTCTAGCGTTTAAAATGGTGGAGAAATCTGGAATGCACGGAAACGTAAAAATCAAAAATTCTGTTTTTAGAAAAAACATTATTTTCTTCTGTGAGACGTTCGGATTGACCTATGTAATATTCTTAAATCTCAGCACAAAATCAATGAGCTATAGTGCATTCAAAAGTAGACACTTTGCTCTATTTAACGAGTTATAAATATAAGACCTCGTATTAAAACTAGAGATAGTTTATCGATTATAGATATGATTCGTTCTTACTGTCATTCCATGAAATAAACTAAAGTTCACTACTATCGATGTAATGTGTTCAAGTGACGGAACTTAGTTCACGCTCTTTTTTAGCTGACTTTATGGAACCTCTTAAAGAAAAACCAAATACATATGAACAACAGAACTTAAAAGTGAGCTACATTAACTATGGATGATTGTCCATACATGTTTCAATTATTAAGATATAAACAGTATCTTCATTTATTTGCATTAAAATAAGACTACGAGATAATGAATCTATCCTGAGTGCAAATGAGTTTTATTAAAAAATTTTTTGAAATTATGAGTGAACTCTGGATAAGAGTTATTTCTAAATTGGATTGAATTTTTTAGAGTTTAGTTTGAATAAAATGAGATAATAATTCTGATTTTGCATTCGAAACCTACGTAATATAATTTGATGAATTAGTTTTTGAACATCATGATAATATGATCGATCCAATTGACTAAAAAAGCTCAAACAAAAACCCTAAAAGAATAATAATAATAATAATTATCTTTGAAATTTTTTATATTTTATTTTACTTCAAATAAAGCTCGAGAATATGATTTTCCTGACCATTGTGTTGTTGCAACATATTTTAATGCACGACATAAAGTTCTTAAACTAAAATGCAAAAAGAAAAACAAAAAAAAAAAGAAATTCTTTTTTTTTCCGAAGAATAAAAATGAAAAAATTCTCTAAACCTATAAGTAATTGATATTCGATTATTTGATGTTGATGATGAAGTTAAAAGAAAATTTTTAACTTTATTTTGTATATCAATATAAAATGTTACAATTCTATCAATATATTCTTTTGGTATATTTGTTTGATTAAGATATTTATCAACAATAATTAAATATTCTGATCGTTCATCACATTCATCAACAAAAAATTCTGTAAATCTAGTTTTTTTATAACAAAAAAAAAAAAAAATTTTTTGTTTTGTTTTGTTTTTTTTTGTCAAATAAAAACAAACCGATTTCGAATACCAATTGGAATATCTCGTTTACCAACATCTGATGCCGGATTCATACAACCAAATAAACGAAAATTTTTATGACGGACTATTGATTGTTTATCACTAGAAAACAAAAAAACAAAATAAATAAATAATTGTTTGATTTTATTTTACCCTCGTTCAGTAAGCCAAATAGTTCCTTGTTCACTTTCAAGTACTCCACTAAGTAATTGAAGAGTTTCAGATGAAGCTAAATTAATTTCATCTAATAAAATCCAATCACCATTACGTAATGCTTGAACAAGTGAACCCTATGAAGACAAAAAAAAAACAAAAATTCGTTTTTTGTTTTAAGGTTTTTGTTTTTGTTTTTACTTCAACAAATCGAAAAATAAGTGCAGATTTATTTTTTGATTTAAATGATTGACGTAATTTAATAAGTTGATTTTTTAATGGTGAATTCGTATCTATATATTTAATCATTAATTTAATTGCTTCTTTATATCGTTTTGATTGAATTGATTTCTACAAAACAAAACAAAAAAAATTAAATTTTTTATTATTATTATTTAATATTTAATTAAATATTTTACTTGAACTTGTTCAATATATTCATTTGTTATTTGTTCAATTGAAAAATCTCGATAAATTTGTTTTAATAATAATAAAGAATCAAATGGTTTATAACCACCAAGTAAATCAACAGCATCACTTTGTTGACTTAAATTAATTACATGAAGACGATTTCCTAAGAGAATTAAATATATATCTTAATATTATTCGTGTTATCAACATTTCCAAAAACATTTATTAATATTCTTTAATGAAGATAGATGTTGTCTAGGTTTTTTTTGTAGAATTCATCTACTTAGAACTACTATAAAAAATAACGGTAGAGATACTTCAATATTGTATCGAGAGAAACTGAAGAAAACTATCTTTCTATATGTACGGAACTAAGTTTTTTTTAGTTCCGATAACTTTTTTTTATAGTAGTCTCAGTTCCGGTTCCGATCTAGAATTTATTCGGGTCATGTCTAAAATAATTCTTTCATTTTTTTTTTGTTTTTATTTAGTCGACGACAAGCACTTTTTGAACTAACTCTTTTGAATTATGTTCTGATGTATACGTTTTATAAGATATAAAGATTGAGTTCTGATCCCCGAAAAGTTTTTTTCTCATGGTTTCACACATCTATAGTGCTGATAATAACTCTGATGTTCGATATTTGATTATTCTTTAAATACAATTTCGATAAGAGATGTTTGTTATGATATTGTGACGATGATGGAAATTTAAATATTAAATCAGAAGTATCCTAGAGTAGTTGTTTTGCTAATATAGCTTTTATTGTATATCATTATGACTGTCCTAACAATTGTCATCTTTTTTTTCGACGATTTGGCTATACTTCTATATTTGTCTTTTCAACAATTATTAAAGTTTAGAAAAGTAAAATTAACAAAGAAATGAATCATCTGTTAAATTATACTAGAAAATGACATCAGCATTATTCATGTGTTAAAAAAAACCATGATAAATATATTTTTTAACTTTACGCAAATATTACAAGTCAAATAATTTGAATACCTAGGATATATATATACATGATGTTCGACTAAGTTGAAATACTTTTATTAAAATGAATAGTGCATTCAGAATTCTGAAATATATTCATAAACAATATCCTTCGTTTTTCTCGTTAAAACATCGAATTTTTCTCTGCTTTTATATGGTCATATTTTAGTTTAATCTCTAATAATGATACTTTTAAGAATTTTGAATAACTATTGATAGAACAACGATACAGAGTTGTAAATTTCGCCATTAGAAAGATGATATGCAGACGCATTGATTTTTTCTTTGTCAAAGACAAAAAAAAGCAATAAAGTAATGTTTTAAAAATGGCTTCGAATTTCGAATAGAATACCTATATAACTTCTAAACGATGATATCTAAATATCTGAGTATTCCATTGGCAGTTCGAATGCACACTTAATAATACAAAAATTCACTGTACACACCTCATCGAATGGGTTCGCTTTCAAAAATGATAGAGTATGCGTTTGGTTTTCTCTGCTTATCTTATTTAAATTTTCACGAAAGACGATTATCAGATTTTGACCAAACAACGGGGCATATGTAGATTTGTAAAAGAACAGTCGCTCTCTATTACATAATATAGATATTATCAAATTCTGTTGCAAGATGTCAATAGATGGCATCATCTATTGAGACCTGTCAACCATACACGTAGTAGAACATGAAAGAAAGTCAATCCTAGAGATTGGTTTTGTTTAAATTTACTTGTGATAAAAATTAAAATATGTTAGTTACCTGTTTTTTGAGCTAAATATTGAACAAGTGTTGTTTTTCCACAACCTAAAAAAAAATAAAATATAAAAATTCCAACAACAAAAAAAAACAAATGGGGATCTTACCAGTTTCACCACAAAGTAAAACAGGTTCATTCATTTGAACACATCGTGCAATACGTTCAAGTATATACGTAGCTGTACGAGTTTTTGCAAAACAATATTGTTGTTGTAATGATTGATTTTTTCTATACATTAAAAACAAAAAAAAATTTTTTCTTCAATTAGAAAAATTCTTTGTTTTTCATTTTACTTCTTTTGTATTTCTAATTTAACATGTCCAATAGCAAAATATTGATTATCATGTTCATCAAATTCTGGTATAGTTTTCAATGCATAAAATTCTGCCTTGAGAAAAAGAATAAAAGTCAAACTGATGAATAAAGAATTTTAGAAAAAAAGCTGATACTTCTTGATTATTCATATTAAATAATGTTCCAATAGATTGAAGAATTTCTAAACGATTTAGTTTTGGTAAAAATGATGCAAAACAATCTAATACATCATAAAATGCTAATTGTCTATGAATTGAACGTGATATTGATAAATTCGATAAACGACGACAACATTTTAATAAATCACTACAAAAAGAATATTTTTGATTATTTTCACAAACAACGAAATGTTTTTTTACCGTAAAGTAACTAAACGTGTATGTATTGATCCTTTTGTATTTTGTAATGATTGATATAATTGAAATAATTTCATTTGAAATAATTGCAAATCATCATTCCATATTGGAAGATCTTGCATTATCTAAATACAAAAATTTTTATAAATACATCAACAAAAGAACATTTTCTAAGTGTCAAATCGCTTTTGAGTCAGGACTAGAGCCTATCGGGTCTAAGATTTTTCGAACCTGGATCCAGTCGGTAAAATTTTGAATTCAAACTTGATTGATTAATCTTTTATGGGAAGAGCGATCCAAAAATTTCCGGACCCGATGGACTTTAGTTAGGACTATATGCATTATGTAGGTTCTAATGAGTTTTGAATACTCTGAAAAGATTTCAGGGTTATAGCTGCTGCCGAGATAATATTCTATTTTTTATTAGAATGCTGTGCTCTCCCCTTAGGTAAACTGAGTTTCAAATTTTGAATTGAAACTTTAAATAGAAGCAAATCTCAATGAGAATAGTTTACGATGATTGTAAAAAGTACTTATAGTCTCTTAGTTTGATTACAAATAGTAGAAAAATAAATCTCAAGACGTTTGACTATTCATTCGATAGTTCAGCGCCGTTTCTATTACAAATAAAAATTCCATATAAAATAGTTTTAGTTTCCTTGATTTATGAAGTCATTTCAACATGAGAGTTATCAAAAGGTAACCGATTTCTTCGTCTAGACATATTCTTCAGTGAATGCTCTGCTCTAATCAAGTTTTCCTTCAAAATTTCACGATCGTAGTTATCAATGTAGAAAAGATCCATTTTCAGACCGTACCAAACAATGGAGGCTTCCCTACTCCTCAAGATTACAACAGATTAGAGTATCCTATCTGTGACACAATGTACACATGTAAACCTTTATTTAATAATAAGAAAATGGATGTTAACGCATCTAAATATCGGAAAACCAGTACTTTCATCGTAAAAACTTTGTATTTTAAGGCTTATTGATCTCGGATTGCTGCTTACGATCCGAGTTTATTGAGCTCTAGCTTCAGTCAAAAAAATTGAAACTTATACAATGAGCACGATTCTCGTTAAGATCAATCTTTGTGCAAAAATAAGCTATTAGTTCGAACTCTTTTTAGAATATTCATAACTGATTTCATAAGATTTTTATTAAAATTCATACTTGAATTATTTCAGAATCAGCATATGAAGGTATTACAATACAAAATACACTTTTTAATAAATGTATTAATTCATTTGATTGAACTGGTATACCCGTATCACTAAAACATAATAGAATTTTTAAAAAAAGCCATAATTTATGATTCGTTTTTTTACCGTTGTGTTAGAAAAAGACGAAAATCTGGTGAAATTGAACCATATCCAATAGATTTTGTTTCAATTAAACTTTTTATTGTTGATAATACATCTGAAGTAGCAGCATCAATATCTTCCATTAATAACCAATGACCTTCTGATGTTGCCTAAAAAGCAAAATCAAAAAAAAAAAAATCAAATAAATAAATAAATAAATAAATATTTACTTCAACAAGTAAACCAGATGTCCAAATAAATTCTCCAGGTTTATCTGTACATTGATATGTACCTAATAGAACCTAATCAAAAAAATGATTTAAAACTAAAAAAAAGCTAAAAGATTTAAATTTTCTCATACTTTACTATCCATATGATCTGAACATTGAATTTTAATTAATCGTTTTCCAATTTGTTGAGCAATATATTCAACAATCATTGTTTTTCCATTACTTATTGAACTATAAATTAATGTTGTCCAAGAAAGTGTTATACTTAATGCTATTTCACGTAAACATTTATCTATTGTTGATGTATGAGTCAGTTTTATTTCAATTAAAGATTCATTATCATTTGATTTTTTATTCATATTATATTTTAATAAAGGAATACCATTTATAAATACACTACGTTTTTTAAAATCATTATCAATAAATAATTTATCACAAGTAGATATATCAACTGGAAGACTAGATTTTGAATTAATCAGATCAAAGATTCTAAAGAAAAATAAAATATTTTATTACTTTCTCACTTATTTAAAAGATTTTTCAAGATACAATGTTGAATTTTTATACATAACACATCCGTCTCTTCGAATATGACCAATGAACATTTTTTTTAGTTCTCATTATTATAATGTACAACTGGAGTGTGTATATGGTGTTGTAACCCAAGAAGACAAAGATTGTCGAAAACGTGTGTAAAAAGCCACATGTTCGACAATCCTTGACTGTTCGATAAGCTTCTTTTCTCCATCCTGATCATTTATAACAAAAAAAAAATTGAGATTTTGAAAGAAGAAACATCTAACATAGAAATTATTTATATTATAGCTTGGTTGGATTTAATTGAGTATTAGCTTTTCCACCAAAATAGCTCTTCTAATGAAATTATAAAATCTACTTATTTTTGTTTTGAATAATCTTAAAGAAACTGATTGGGAATATCAACGAAAAATAAACAAATATGTTATTGGAAAATATTCTATCTACTCATCAAGAGTCAATACAATTTTTATTATAAGAATAAACTCTCACATAATGATCAATCATGTTTTTTATTAATACGATAAATCTTGTGTGACTATCAATAAACATGTCTTATCAATAAATTAAACTACCACCTCCTCCTCCTCTGCAATAGCAGATTCCACTTGATTAATTAATTTCTGAACTCTAATCAATAGATTTACCTCATTTTCAAGATTTTATGAAAAATTATGTAAATAAATAGAATATAATAAAAGACTCCGGGAAGATTTGTACGCTTGAATATAATAGAAGATTTGGATTCTCTATTACAGGAGAGGATTTACACCATCGAAACAGTTTTTTATCTAGACTTTCTCTTTCAGAAGAGACGATTTAAAACTCCCAAATAGTGGAAACCTATTCATCGGACCCGATCGAAACAACATTTTAGGACTCGTACCCAGTTAGATCCGATGGACTTTAATCTCCAGTGAGGTGCCACGTCTTCAATTCCCATGCTGGATAACGCATGACAAGAATACTTGCATATCTCTGCGATTGCAGAATATACTTTTCTTTCTAACAAATGAAATATTGAAAAATTACTTGAAAATAGTTGTATTTGACACGTTAGGTCGATATAAATCTTGTTGATTCGATGACATATTAAATATGATCGATAGACAAAGAAATGCTAACCTATTACAATAAAAAAAAACCCCGAGTATTATATTAGAAAAAAAAACCAACTAATCTTTGTATAAACAAACCATTTGACATAATCATCATTAGTATTTTGTAATAAATGAATAAGTGTATTCCATTTCCATGAATGAATTAAATTTATTTTTGAATTTGATAATAATAATAAACGAAGTGTTGAAAGAAGTAAATAAACATGATCATTTATATTATTTTCTTTCTAAAAAAAAAAGTAAAAATTTTGCAATTAAATTAAATATAAATTTTTTTGTTTCTTTTTCTTTACTATTTTTAATTTCTTTTTTGGACTTTCTCCATTCCATTCAATTAATGATGTATCTGTTGATAAAAGGTGATTTTCAGTTATTCTAGACAAAAAAAAACCAATGCATTTTAAATTCTATTTACAAAAACAAAAACAAAAAAAACATTATATTACGTATGTAATGAAGGATAATCTTGTAAAATTTGAGAAAGTAAAACAAGAAATCTTTGTTTAATTGATATATGATTAGTTATTTTATTTGAAAAATTCACTGCTATATAAAGACGATGAATAAATGCAATAAAATAATGTGGAAATAAATTTTGAATTTGTTCACAAAATTTCGATGATAATGAATCACTTTGTAATAATTGTTGAACAAGTAAATTTATTAATAAATGACGTTTATCTAGAGACCATTTGTCCTTCAAAAAGCAAAAAAAAAAACAAAAAGATAACAATTTATTACATAACATTATTCAAAAACTATTTCAATTTTACTGTTTTTATTAATGGTTGTAATTCTTCGGATATTTCTGGTACCTGTCGAATAAGTTCAAGTAATACCTGATGATGTTCACAATCGATTTCCATTTATCTAAATCTTTTTTTCTTTTTTGTTAATTAAATGAAATTATTTTTTTTTTTTGTAATCCAATAGAAGTCTTATGGTAAAATCTAGCATTGCTTATCCGATCTTAGTTTATTTAACTATTAGCGACATCGATTTTTTTTTTGTTTTTTTGATCAAAATATTTATATTAATTAAATATTTTTTTATTTAAATATGAATAAATTAAATTGTTAAAGAAAAATATTTTATTTTAAAGGATTTTTTAAATATTTTAATTGGTTCAAGGAAGACAAATAAAAAAATGGAATAAATAAATAAGATTCACTCATATGCACACACTAAAAAAAGAAAAACAGAACACTGAACGATAATTAATGTCTGTCTCACTTTTTTTTTCGCTTTAGTAAATAAGTTAAATAAGATGAATATTTTTCTTCAGATTTTCTTTTTATATATTCAACCAAGTATAAATATTGCCCAAAATATTTGTTTTTTCTATTCAGTTGGGAACAAAATAAATAATAGCAGTCAGTAATCATCTTTTAACTTTTCATTTTATACTTCATAGTTCATTTTTATTATTCAGCATAAAATTTCATTTGAAATAATTTGTTGATGTATGTTCGAATTTCCATTTCTTTTTTCTTTGAGCACAGATATTTTTGTTTATTGTACAAAAAAACCATGAGAGACAGAAGACAATTACATTCAAGAGACTGGATATCGATTGCATATTTATATTTACTTTAAATAAATCTATTAAACTTGGTAATTTAGTTTTAGTTACTGTTATTTTTAGATATGTAACATATAAAAGCAAGAAAAAAAAATATTTTTTTTTCTTGTCAATTTTGTATCTACGCGGGATTTATATGTCCCTATCCATAATACAACTGTCAGATATGTTTTACTCATTGTATTAAATCTTGAACAAAACAAAACAAAAAAAAAAGAAAGAGAAAACAATGAAGAATGATTCATCTGAACAATTCTATGCGTGGTTTGATGTTTCAAGTAAGTGAAAATAATATCCTTTTTTTTTTTTTTTAATAAATAATATTTAATTTTATTTATTAAAACTAGATAATCTCGATGATGAACGTAGTTGGATACGAAAATATGTTGAATTTGATCGAACAAAACGTACATTGACATTGTATTCTAACGATGTATGTTATTTCTTTTTTTCTCGTGATGTTTGGATAAGCAATGAATGACTGAGCTCATCAACTAGTAGAACTAAATTGACCTTCTATCATTTCTTTTCTTCCGTTATGTATGTCCATCATCTCTTGTCGATATTTCATTCGTATGCGATGCCACATATCATCGCATCGAGCAGTTTGTATATGCACATGTGTGTGGGAGAAACACGCATACAAATAGAATCTTTGTTCATATATCCTGTATGATGGAATCGTTTTTCTTTCTTCTTCTATTCATTTCTATATGTACATTGTCGAAATGAATGCCAAATGTTGAATTGAACGGATCAATAAAAAGAAAAAGAAAAGAAAAGAAAAGAAAAGAAATACAAAAGAATACTGATGCCATAATCGAAAACGACAAAAGACTTCCGTTTGTTATGTCTGATGATTACGAAACGTGAAAGATTGTTTGATAAAAAAAAAAAAAAAAAAGATTTAGTTTTCTTTTACAAAAATATTAATATAAAAATAATTGTTTTAGTGTATACATTCAACTAAACAAGCACCAATTGTTGATTTAAATAGTGAAATGATATCATTATCATCATCAGCAACATCGTCATCATCATCATCATCACTTTGTACTTCATCAATATTAACTAATAATAATAGTGGACGTTCATCAGTTAATGCTCGTCGACCAAGTTACATGTTACAATCATTATCAGAATATATGTCACCATCATTATCGAAAGCTTTTTTTTCATCATCAACAACAACTAATGATGATAAAACAGCTACATTAACTCCATTGAATAATAATCCAATACAATCAAACACTATGCGTCTTGCATCATTCACGGGTAAGATATTAATGAGGCAAACTTTAACAAAAAAAAAAAAAAAAAAAGAAAAAAAGCAAACTAATGATCACAATAACCTTTACCAATATAAATCTTTTTCTTGATCGTATCAAACTAATAGAAAAGAATATTTGGTAATCGGATCAATTAAAGAGAAAACATACCAAAAAAAAAAAAAGAGATTTTTCTTCACACATATATATTCATTATTTACCCAATATACTAATAAAAACCTCATATCAATATCTCCTTGAAATAAGACAAATGAAAAAAAGAGAAAAAACGAGAATCTTTTGTTTTTTTTTGTCTCTATTATCGAATAAAAGATTGCTCATACAACCGTTCTCGGCATATCATCGATCATACACATTGTATCATAACCGGTGGGTTTTATATGTCATATAGAACATACTCCGATTATGGAATACAAGCTCAGACACGAACTAAAATATTTAAATCATAGCAATCTTTTAATGAGTATCGAACCATAAACCTTTGATTGAATAAATAACTAAAACAATTCGACTAACTCTACTAATTTATTCATATTATATTTTATCATACATCTGTTTGTATATATGTTATCTCAAGACAAATTATCTTACTTTCTTCTCTCAATAGAGACAAACATCGTTCCGCATTTCATCCCACTTGTCTATCCAAACATACATACATACATACATATATAAATATATGGTCGTCTAGAAAAAGAAAAAAAAAATATGAGAGAACGCGCGACGGACTCGCAATATGCGCCAAATGATAACCACTAGGAGCCCATTGGCGTGTGTATATATACGTACACACGCGTATATGTGTAATAATAATTGTTCGATGTTACAGATCGATTCCGATTACATTTCAATTACTGTACAAATCAACATATCGAGAGAAGAAGAAGGAGAAGAGGAAAAAAAGAGAGAGAGAGAGAGAGAGACAGAGAAGAGAGGAGAAAAAAAAACAGAAAAAAGAGAGAGAAAGTACATTATTCATTTTCTCTCTCGTATTGTTTCGGTTTGCATTAGAACGAGAGAAGAAGAAGAAAAAAACAGAGAAAGTAAAAGATACGAACGATTGTTCAATGCATCATCATCATCATCATCATCATTATCGTTGTTGTATAACAACAAAAAAAAGATATAATGCGGCATTTATTTAAAAGGTGGGCTTCAAATAATCAACTAATGACATCAACAACCGATAATAATAATTCTATAGCATCAACAATTTATCATCAACAAGTACCAATTATAGAAGAAGAAGAGTTTGATGATGATGAAGGTTCGTTTTGTTTATATATATATATATATATATGTCAGGCGTTTCCGTATATAGTTTGATTTCCGTTCATTGAGAATAAATGACACACCTTCAACAAAGAATATTTGTCACATACGTGTTCTTTTTTTTATACTTTTAACAAATGAATAGAAAGTGAATAAATGCTTGTTCAAGGTACATGCATCTCTACTTTTCACCTTCTTTTCTCTCTCTCTCTCTCTCTCTCTCTTTGTTGTATTTCATGGGTCAAGGTAGAAGATTTACTCCTTGTATTCATTCATTAAAATTCCATTGATAAGGCAGAAGAAGATTAAGATTATTCTCTAGAAATGAAATATGGTAATTAGATATTTAAATTTTTATAAATTTGACTTGGTTTTTTTTTTGTTCATATTAAATTACTTTGAATAGATTGAAACTTTAATAGGATTAAGAAAATTTTTATTCAAAAAAGAGATTTCTTTCCTTTTTTGATTAGGAAAATCCAAGTTCTAATTTATATGATAAAGATTTCTATGCTTAAATGAACGTGAGATAAGTATTCGAGATGACACAGAAATTCATTACTCGGTATAATACCGGCCTTGTGGCCTAATGGCTAAGGCGTCTGACTTCGGATCAGAAGATTGCAGGTTCGAATCCTGCCAGGGTCGCTTGTCTTTTTGCTTATTCTTTTTTCTTTTTTTCTTTTCTTCCTTCAAATATATGTTCAGTGTTGATTCATTTCTTTGCTTTTTGTTCTATGTTATATATCGGCCTTGTGGCCTAATGGCTAAGGCGTCCGACTTCGGATCGGAAGATTGCAGGTTCAACTCCTGCCAGGGTCGCTTTTTTTTTTTTAATAATTTACATATAGATAAAGTTAATCCTCATGATTAATTATTTGTCATATGTATAGACTCATTATCTGATCGTCTATCTTCAATAACAACAACGACAAATCGACAATCAAAAACAAAATTTTCATATTTTTTTGGTCGTTCATCAACAAATAATAAATCAAATACAAATCAACAATCATTACCATCACCAAATATAAATATTGATTCATTAAAACGTACAAAAAGTGTTACAAAACTGGAACGACAAAAACGTCTTCAACAATCTTTAATAAATTCAAATAATCAACAAACATCTCCATCACTTCAGTAAGAAAATCAAAAAAAAAAAAAAATTCAAAAAAAAAAATGATCTTTTTTTTGTTTTATAGTAACATTCCATCAAATCGTTCTCGTTCTCATGAATCTCTATTTGTATTAAACGGTGGTCCTGGTAATGGTCCATTAGGATCTCTAACAACAACAACAACAACACCAACAATTCCAAATCAATTAATATTAGATAATTGTCATATACGTCGTTTACATCCAAGTATATTACAACAAACATCATCTGATATACATGATGAACAATCAACATCATATCAATCGATTCAAATACGAAATAAAAATGAAAAAAAAAATTATTATCTACGTTCAAAACAATATTCAACTGATAGTTCATTATTAATAAATAGTTTACGACAAACATCATTAGAAACAATAACAAATTTATGTGGTTTAAGAACAGATAATTCATTAGATATATGGATATTAGAAGCTAAAGGTTTACCTGTTAAGAAAAAGTAATACAAAAATAAAAATAAAAAAAAAATTTCAATTATGAAAAATATGTTGTTGTTTTTTTTTGTATAGATATTATGTTAAAATATTTCTTGATGATGATATTTATGGTAAAACCACAAGTAAAGAACGACGTGAAATACTTTTTTGGGGAGAAAATTTTACATTTAAAGATATACCAGAAGGTTTGAACAACAAAAAAAATTCCTTTTCCTTTTCCTTTTTTTTTTTATAAATTTTGATAAAAATAAAATAGGTTGTTCAATACTTCGTTGTAAAATTTATCGTGAAATCGAAAGACGTAAACAAAAACAAGTCAATGGAAATGATATTGATTTAATTGGTTATATTGATATACCATTATCAACAATAACTGGAAATCAATTTATTGAACAATGGTATCCATTACAAATACCATCTGGTTTACCTATAACAGGAAAAGATAAATCACAAAGATTACAAGATGGATCATTTAATATTAGAATTAAAGCTAAATATCAAGCTATTGAAATTTTACCTATTGAATCATATTTACATTTACAAGAAGTTTGTTATTTAGAAATAAAGAAATAAAAATAATTTTTTTTTTTCTTTAGTATATTCGACGAGATTATCTTCGACTTATTAGAATTCTTGAACCACATATTAGTTTACGTGATAAAGATGAAATTGGTAGGTAGTTTTTCATTCGAAAATAGAATATATCTATTTATCAGTCGGAATTAATCAAAGAACTTATATATATACGTAAATAATGATATCTTCTTTTCAAATATGAACATTAACACATTGAGTTAAAGTATTGTCACATGGCGGAATATTTCCATGTGTTAATAAGCTTCTCTGTCGATACCTTATGCATCATGTTGACTCTAATGTATAATGAATATGATAGAAAAAGGTCATATTTATAGTTTATTCGTGATGAAATATATATTAGGGATGCATTGATCTAAACATATACACTAATGATGAATAGATTTTATGGTCTTGGATTGATTTCAGTTGGAATGATTATTTGAAGAAAATAACTGAATTTTACAAAGATAGACAAAATATTTTCAAAGGATCTAAAGAAGATTTTTCTCGTTTCGACAAAGACTTCGTTCGCAGTGAAATAATCAATAAAATTTAGTTTAAAATCATTTCTTCAGTGTTATTTTCAACTCATGAAAGAATTTCTTCAGATATCAAATCGTTTTTTAAAAGTTTGAAAATCTATATCACAGCTTTTCGTTTGAAAAAACTCAGTAAAATTTCGATATCTCAAGAATGCAGGCTCGTAAAACCAAAATTGTTCTAGACTTTTCTATTACTCATCGAATGAATATCGTCTCGATTGAAAAACAATTTGACACCTAGTTAGATTCTCTTATCAAAATTATCAATGTCAAAAGCCAAAAAATGTATTCCATTTCATTCCGAATTAACTAATACGATTAGCTTACTCTTAAAATATTAAAAATCAAATATAAACTTTCGAAAAAAAAAAACTCAATTATTCGAGCAAAGATCGTTTTATTCTCTTAATAATTCTTTTTTTTTTAGCAACATCATTAACCCGTATTGCTCAATCTCTTTCATTTTCTACATCATTTCTTGTTGATATTGTACAAGCTGAAATATTATCAACACCAGATAATTCTTTAACATTTCGTGGTAATTCCATAGCAACAAAATCTATGGAAGCATATATGAAATTAATTGGTGAAACATATTTACGTGAAACATTAACACGTTTTGTAACAGATATTGTATCATCAAAAAATTCGAATGATATAGATTTAGAAGTTGATCCAGGTCGTGTATCAAATCTTCAAAATTTAGAACGTAATCAAATAACATTAAGATTATTATGTGAAAAAATTTGGTTTGAAATTCAACAATCACATTCATTATTTCCTCAGTAAAAGATTTTTCGAATAAATAATTTTTTTTTTCTTTTTTTTTTGTAAATAAATTTGTTTTGTTTTTTGAAAAAAGGGAATTAAAACGTATATTTTGGAAACTTCGACAATTATCATCATCTGATGAAACAATGTTTAATTTAATTAGTGGATCAGTTTTTCTTCGTTTTCTTTGTCCAGCTATTTTATCACCAAATTTATTTGGTCTTACTCAAGGTAAAATTTTTTTTTTTTTTTGTAGGAAATGAAATTTATAAAAGTATTCAATTTATTATTGAAATTAGAATATCCAAATGAAAAATCATCAAGAAAATTAACATTAATTGCTAAAACATTACAAACATTAGCAAATTTTTCTAAGTAAGAAAAATTAAATAAAATGAATTTAGAATTTGAAAAAATAATTTTTTTTTTTTTTGTCGATTTAGGTTTGGTCCAAAAGAATCTTATATGAAATTTATGAATGATTTTGTTGGAAAAGAATCGGAAAATATGAGAAGATTTTTAGCTCAGATATCTGTAAGTAAAAATATGAATAATCAAATGATTATTTATTTAAAATCAAAACTTTTTTTTGTTTTTTTTTCAGACAATTGATCATGATTATGATGAACCACGATATGCACATAGAACTAATCTTCACGATGATAAATGTGATATTGATTTAGGTTTGAACTTCTTTCATTATTATTTATTTATCAGCATGCATTGAACTCTATTATTCAGACACTATTTGATCAGTTCAGAAAGTGTCGGATGGAAGACAGAGATCAGATCGATTCAGGTTCCTCAAAATTTAAACCGAACCGAAACAGAAGTTGACTTGAGGTACTTCGAATAGAATTCATTGGATCCAGTTGGGCTCTTCCCATAGAAGCTTAATCAATTAGGATCGAACCCAAAATTTTGATCCATCGGGTTCGGATCCGAAAATTCTTGGACCCAATAGACTTTAACTGGAAATGAGGATTGCTGAATAGGTAAATGTTCGACTTTCTGCCAATATTTTTACAACTTGATGTTAACTTTGGACAGAAACGAGATTTTGGAATAGTAATTTGTCTTTCTCTAGCAGAAAATGAAATAAAAATAAACAGACAATGTCATTGTGGGGTGAATAGGATTGGAGAGGGTTCGAAGAAAGAACATCCCGGCAGCAGATCGTATATTGTGAGAAAGGTCGCGTCATAATGGGTGTCATTTCGAGAATGAAAGCACTTCCTACAAGAATTTTCATCCCCTCATATTCCTAGAAAATATCGACGATCTTGCTGCGAACTGAACCGATTCCATCTGTAGTAGAAGACTCGGGCTCTTTTATTGTGTAAGGTTTTTTTTTTACTTCTGTTTATTTTTATCAATAAACTGAAAATGATCACATTCAAGACCAAACGTTTGAATTCAATGGATGTCTATTCATTTAAATATAAAATCTACTTTATTTTTTATTTAGGTCGAGAATATTCAATTCTTCATTCAACTCTTGCTGATTTATTTGAACAAATTGATTTTAATACACGTCGAACATTAAATGAATTAGAATATGTTTTAAATGAATTAACAAAAATAAAATTATTTTATTCATCAACACAAAATGGTACACAAATTCATTTACATCATCATCATCATCATATATATCATCATTTAACAACACCATCTGAACATTATTATAATCGTTTAGATAAACAATCAAATGATAATCGTTCATCACCATATGGTAGTCAAATATCATTATCATTAACAGGTACAGGTACAACAAATGAATCATCACAAGGTTATCATTCAATATCAACATCACCAACAATAACAACAGTTGAAAATTTAAATAAAGAAAATATTCGTACACCATTGTCTTTCAAAAATCCAATATTTAATAAACAAATAATACAAATTGAAGAAAATATTCAAAGTGATTTATCAGATGACGATAATAATAATAATAATAATAATCATAATCATAGTCATAATCAAACACAAACAGATTCATCAAAAGCACTTTATTTTATTAATAATCTTTGTATTGAATCTATTAAAAATTCTTCATCACCATCATCATCTTCACAACAATCACTTGTTCATTCAGCTAGTCGACAATCATTACAACAACCATTATTTGTTTTAAATAATAGTTATATGACAAGAAGTACACAAAGTTTAGCATCAACATCAAATATAAATACACCTATAACAACAAATAATTCACCATCAACATATTATTGTCTTAAAACACCACATGATCAATTTTATGGAACAAATAAAAGACAATCAATTTTATCAAATCAACAATTACCACCACCTAAAATGGGTCTTAAAGCACTTAATCATACTTCAACATCAAATAAAGTAAGATTTTCTATTTATTATAAATTCATTAAATATATTTTAATATTGAATATGATCAAAAGTTTTGTATCTAACTGTATTCAGGAATTTTCTTTGAAAAGATGTACCATGAAATGTATAATTATTTTAATAGACGACAAAAACTGAACACATATGCCATCATGTTATTTCCTACAAGGAAAAATTCGCTTTGTGATTGACAACTAAGGTCATTTGTAATCAAATCAATGTCAGATAAAATCGACTGTTCAAGGCACTGTAAAAAAAAAAACTAAAATATTTTATCACTCCATCAATACTTCTTACGAAATCAGTATTAATTACTTCTTAACGTATTTTCATCATCTTTAATTGAAGCAGAGATGAAACCGGTTTTTACCGGTGTATTCTATTAGTTTTTTTTTTGCTCTTAATATTTCATAAAGGATATATAATGAAACTCTTTTGAAATGTCAAATATCATTATCCATAGATATGGAATAGTACGATAACTTATCAGTCCAGTATCGATATGAATTTTAGGGTGGTACCAGTAGAGCCTATCGGTACCGAGAATTTTTGGACGTGGATCGAGTCGATCAAATTTTTAGATCCGAGTCTGATTGACTACTAACCTTTTGTGGGAAGAACCCATCGGGTCCAAAAATTTCTCGACCCGAACCCATTGAGCTCTAGATGTCGATTGTGAAAAATTTAGACTGATTCTATCTCTGACAAGAGAAGTATCTGAAGTGATTAATCGCTTTTGAGTCCATACTTCGACCAAATAGAGGAAACCTCTAGACTAGAATAATCCTAACAGGATTCGGATCCACGATTCTTATGAGTTGAGATATTGAATTTTCAAGTTCCAACAGATAAAAAGGATTTTGATTTTCTATTGTGATTGTCTTGAAAACAAAAATGTGATGTTAACTAGAAATTCCATGATAAACTGGCTGCATCATTACGGTGAAATTTCTAGATTTTATCTCATTTCTATAAGCCACATCAATTTTCTTGAAAATCTTAGACCGAAAAAAAAATAAAACTTTATAGATATCACTTTTTAAAAAATTATAGCGTCACATTGAAAGACAACAGACATCTAATTATGATAGTGATAGACTTCAAAGAAATGTTCAAAGCAGAATAGCTTGCGGCAATGACTACATTGAATAAGGCATAATAAGTGGCAGCTCGACAAGTTAAGCTTAATCCTTCTAACGATTTGTACATCGAACTCTCTACTTTGAGAATAATACAACAAAACCAAACGTTTTATTTCAGAACGATGCATTTAAAGATGAATTGACATAGACGTTATTTTTCACTTGTATTCGAAATGAGGATGAGTAGTAATTCTCATGCTTTAAATGCTGTACTAAATTTCTGATTGGTTCGAGCCATTATAGCCAAAATAAATAAACAATAATTATGAAAACCAAAATTCAACAGTTTTTCAACTTTCTCTTATTTTTTCTTGTAGGAAATAACACGATGATATATTTATTTAATGTTAACACTCTAGTAAAATAACTATAAAGATTTGCTCTTGTAATCCAAGTAGAACATTCAATAGTGCATCCTTTGAAAACAAAAAAGAATCAAAGTTCTTGAACACAGTTACTTGTAAAACTCAGCATATGAGCGAATTATAACTTGTTCGTACAATCGAGATTTTGACTAGATGTTTTCGATAACTTTTACTCTGAGCAACTAATTTGAAATAAAAAAAATGTTTATATATTACTTCTTTTTCAGTATTCTACTATCACATTGAAAGGAGGTACCTAAGTCTATCTTTATTATAAACAACCATTATACGTTCATGAATAATGACAGAAACTTTATCACTGAAGGATGATTAATCAATCAGAATTCATTGACGACTATATGAATTACTCACAGACAATAAAACTAATGTAGCAGTGTTGTTTGTTGTTTTTAAATAAAATTAGTTTCGAAACTTTTTCTTTTTTTGAATGTTCTTCGTACATTTGAAAGGATTTTAAAAGAAGCATAATTTTTTAATAAAATGAATTTTCGTTTTCTTTGTTTAAGGATATTGTTCTTGCTCAACGTTCACCAATGTTAAATTTATATCAAGAAGAAAAATGTCGTCGAATTGAATGTGAAAAACAAGCTGAACGGTTAGTGTAAAACAAAATCATTTAGAATAACTAAATAAAATTGGAAAGAAATTTTCTTTCTTTTTTTTTTTTCTAATCTTTAACTATATCAATAGTAATTTTGCATGATTTTATTCTCTCTCAGGCTCTGCTCGCATGAGACAGTTGTTTAACAAATCAGGTGGGTTATTTAGATATACATATCTATCTATCTATATATACATATATTTCAAAGCATGGTTCTTTGTTTTATAATTTTTTGTATCTATTTGAATGTAGTTGCATGTTATTGATTGTTGTTAAGCATGTCTTCTTAATTTTTTTGTTGTTTTTTTAATGAATAAATATATTTTATTTAGACTACGTAATGAATTAAATCGATCAAATGAACAAATTGAAGAATATCGACATTTAATTTATTTATTAAATGAAAAAAATTTAACAACTAATATTGATGATATTAATTTAATTGATTATTCTGATGATGATATTGATATTAGACTAATGGAAAAAAATTTTTGTCTTGATGATAATACAGAAAATAAATTTATTTTTTTGTATAGTAAACCTTCATTACCACCAGATGATGATGATGATGTTGATAATTTATCAATACTTTCACATCTTGAAAATGCGATTGAATGAAATTCTCAATTTTCTTTTTTTTTTTTCTCTTTTTCTTTTTCTTTTTGTTTCTCATTCATAGAAATTAGTCTGTTTTCTCTTCACATGTTTTCTTTTTTTTTCTTAATACTCGTTGTTGTTTATTGAACTCACATTGTCATATCATTGTTTAATAATAATAATAATAATAATAAAACAAAATACTCTATGTGTGTTTATTTGTTGTTTTATAAAACGAGGAAAAATTTTCTTTGTTCTGTTTTCTTTTCTTATAATGTCAATGTTTATTGTAATACTTCAAAAATTTTTGTAATAAAGCATATCAGCGGCTTGCGAATATCTCATTCGAATATTAATTTATATTATTAAGTAAAACGAATAATCAATATTTGAGAAAAAAAAAATTCATGGCAAATTTCTGAAATAATGATAAACAAATTTCTTCTACATGGAATGGTGAATGATGAGCACGGAAATTATACGTGCGAGAAAAGTTTAGCATACAAAAAAAAAAATTGTGATGCTAAAGAGTGTGCGGATGGGAAGGGCATTGATAGAATTGGGTACCAGCAACTGATCGGTCAGGTCCGGTACGATTTTTAGACAGATTCCATCTATGGGAAAGGGTATTGATAAAATACGCTCTAAGCATCGTTTTTTTACTGGTGAGATATATTAGTCAATAGAGCCTGGAATTTTTGAGTCTATCGAATCTGACTCTGAGCCATTCTAAAAAAAGTGTAAAGAAAAAACTTTTTAGAGTGACTAACTCTGAGTAAAAAGGCTCAATAAAATAAATATTTGGAAAACGAAGTCAAATGTAGCTCTGCTTACATATTTTGAACTGACCAGAACTATTAGATGTTTACCACAACTTCATCTAATGTGATGTTCCGAACATTTATTTGTTTGAACTTTTGGCTCAAAGCGTCTTTTACTAATACTCGGACGGAAATGAAGAAAAGACTAAAGTCCACACTCCCTGACCTTTCAATAAACGTCATATTTATCTTTAAGTTTTTGTGTGCTTAATTATGAGTGCTCATCGTTTCGCTTTGGATTGTATTCTTCGATTAAGTTTCTTCTTCCTCACAGAAAAGTCAATTTTCCTTAGGATTATCGAAATTAAGATAAATATATGGGGAGCAAGCCGGAGGTCTAATCTTTCATAAATGATATGATTTTGGCATCTCATTTTTTCCAAAAACTTTAGATGATTATTGTCATCAAAAATATGCTGTTTTTAGAAAAAGTAGAAAATCTTTTTCGTTTTTTTCTTTTTTCTATTCTTTTTTGATCGCGCATCCCAAAATTTTTGAAGGAGCTTCATTATAGGCAATGATTATTTTTGTTTGAAAGAGCATGTCAGGATCTAAGGTATGATCGAGTTCTTTTTTTAAATTCTTACTTTTTAAGGAGAAAAAAGTTCAATGTGTCAAAAAATGATACTCTAATTATAACAAAGTTTTATTCAAAAAAAGGGATTCTTACATATTCTGCAATTTGACATGTTCTTTCAAACAAGAAAAAGGAAACTATTGACTATAATGAAGCTTCTCTGAATATTCTGGAATACTCGATTACAAAACATGAACAAAGAAAAAAGCGAAGAAGATTCTTCACTTTATCTAAAAAAAACGTATTTTTTTTCTTTAGAAAATAACGGAAATTTTCGAATAAAAGGAAGTACCAAATTAAAAAATTCTGTTATTTATCAAAGATTAGCTCTCGAGCTATGTTCTTATACATTCATCCCAATTTTCATGCTTAAAAAATATTTTCGTTCAAATCAACTTTAGATTCATGAGAAATTAAATTTATCGTGTTTCATTTAGATTTACAATTCTTTTTATTTCTTTAATCCATTTTTTTCCCTCTTGCTGTTTTTAGTTCGTTTACTCTCATTAAAATGATAAAAGAAGATGCAACGATTAAAAGAAGTAAAGATATGAATGTTATCATAGCTTCAAAATATTAAAATTCAATAAGTTAAATTAAATTTCTTCTCGGTCCTTCAAATCCTGAGAAAATTTAATTTATAAGATGAGTATCGACGTCGCATATGCAAAGAGAAAACATAGAACTGATTTAATCATATATGTCATTTACATTTTATAATATATTTTATACTATTTAAAATATTCAAATGAAAATTTCTATTTGAAAAATTTAAGTGAAAGACATTGATTATTTACGCACAAATAGATATACAGTTGATAGATTTATAAAACTAAATTTAGTTGAAAAATTTTTTTTTTATTACAAAATTATTAAAGCAATTTATTGATAAACTACCTCAAAATTATAAAAATATTCACGAATAATTTTCAATACAGTGGCGTTTTATGTCATCTGTGTGCTTACAACGGTCTTTTATCATTTATCGTACATATTATTATATAAGAGACGATAACAATCAAGTGTTCACTCTAATATGCACAAAGAATATTAATATAACGTAACGATCACAGTTTGAGAAGCATAACCACATGGACCGTTACATATACAACTAAATATGATATTAAAATATATTTACATTCAATTAAGATGACATATTTCATTCGACTTATGATTTCATTATTGAATAAATATAAATCAATTTGTTACCAGGGATATCTCAAGGTCATCAAGATTGAGGAAGGGTTGAGCCGTGTTATGAAGATTAGTGAGAAAAAAAAATTGAAAATTTTCCAAGATTAGAAGGAGTTCATCTCTCCACCCTTTTTTCGGTTTGCGTTAGTCTCTGATGGGACCGGGTATGAAAATTTTGAACTTGATGAGCTCTAGTCGTCTAAGAAATGATTAGGATACCCTAGTCATGGAATACAAGAGTATCTCGTGTCTTCGGGACGACTATTCGATTTCGATTAGAAAATATGATTAAGAGCATAAAAGTACGGTTCGATTGGATCCGATGGACTCTATGCTCGGAATAGCTCTAATTTTGACTATTCATTCGAATATGATGACCGAAATATGTTTTCTCGTCCTATTCTACTTTTGTTTATATCAAAATATATTTTAGTTTTTTTTTTTCTTTATTAATTTAACACCTCAATGTATTCTATCATTTCTTTTGTCAAAGACATCAAATTTCTATTTGATCACATTTTTTTTTGAATATTTTATTGCTTATACGAACGTGTATAAAAGGTGTTCGACTGTCAGTGACCTCTCTCAATACAAATTTGCTTAGTAAAATTCTTACGGTTGGATTTTATTATTCCATTGCTTATTCATTGAATTTTTTTTTATGATAGGACACTTCAAACTATATTTATTTTCTTCCGTTCTCTTATATATATATATTTTTCTTTTTCATATTCTGAATTTATTATTTTACATTGAACATATTTCAACATATAAATACTAAAATGAATAATTTTTATTGGAAAAAATTTTGTCCTTTAATCTAACGATATTTCTTTTTTGCTCGTTTCAAATAAAATTACCTTTCAGTTATAGGTCAGATAATAATAAAATACATTTGTCATTATATCATATGTTAAAGGGCAACTAAAACTTAACACTTGTTCAATGAAGAAGAAAAAAAATCTTATCAATTTTATTTGATCATTTTTTTTCTTCTTTAGATTTGAAATAACTTTACATATGGCAGGTCCTGAAATCGTAAGGTTTGTTTGATTATTATTATTATCATTTACACAAGAAAAAAGTTATTATTTTTTTAAAATTTAGACGTAATAGTTATGATCGTTTGCGAGCATTGAATAATGATCAATCAGGATCAACGTATATGTGTGATTGTGGACAAGAATATATGAGTGAAGAAGCTCTCAAACGACATCATGTATATTATGAGGAGTGATTTTTGGTTTTTTTTTTGTATTGTTTCATTGTGTTCTTTCTTTTTTTAAAGCAAACTAATTGCAGAAATCGATCAATTCAATGTTCATTTTGTCAAGAAATGTTTTCATCAACTGTTATACGTGATCATTTACTTGCATGTGGAAATAAAACTGATCAATGTCCACGTTGTTGTCAATTTATACGACGTTCTCATTTTACTTATCATTATGAAAATAATTGTGCATCAATTGATGAAATTGAAACTCCACCAACTCGACCGAAAACTCGATTAGCACAACAATATGCTCCTACTAATTCTAACAAGCCTATATCAAGAGTTGATATTCCTAGTAATGACTATCCTGAAAATTATTCTGATCAAAATTCTCCAAGAGGCAATAGAAGATCTCCATTGATAACATCAAATCAAAGTAAATATTTCTATTATTAATAGAAAAATTTTTAATTATTTTATTTTATTTTATTTTAAAGTTAATGTACCAATGACAATCGAATGTGAATATTGTCATAATCGATGTGTACGAAGTGATTATAAAGCTCATAGGGTATGCTTTAAAACAAAACAAAAAAAAAATAACTTTGAAATTTTGTTGATTTTTTCCAGTACTTTAAATCAATATCTGATTATATTATTGTAGGACATGTGTCTTGAAAATCCAGCAAATATGAATCGAAAACAACCACCTGTAATACCATCAAGGTCAAATCAAAATCAAAGCGCTTCACATGGTATTGTTCATATTCCATGTGAAATTTGTCAACAATTAATTGATTTACCTAATTGGTCAAGTCATACTGTAAATTCATATTGTTTATTTTATATCGATTATATTATTTTATAAATTTATTTAATATAGCAAAGTTGTCGTGAGAGAGAAAAGCAACGATTAGAAAGACGTGCAGAGTAAGTTCGATGTCGTTTGATAAGTAGAAATTTTCAAAGATATATCTAGAACAATGAGTCAACAACCTGTTACTGAACAACTTCCATGTGAATATTGTCAACAATTAGTTTTAGCTAAACAACTTCATTTACATGAAGTAATTATTAAATAATCAAATTTTCAATTTGTAATTAAATCATTCATTTTAATTTCCTAGAAAAATTGTGTGAAAAATCCAGCAAATACAGAATCAGCACGTCTTCTTGCTCAACAACGACCTTCACCACCTGTTTTTCTACCAACCAG